CTGACAGAGCAGCTCAGAGAAGAGGCAAGCTGCAGTTGCTGTGCTTGCCTGATCCTGGGCAATAAAGCATGTCACTGGGCTGGTCCCCTGCTGGAATTTATGGCAGCCTGGCTGCTGCCGCTGGGCCTGGCTGCCAGTGGCCACGAGGACCTGCTGAGAGGGCTGTGGATGAGCAGGGATGAAGCAAGCTGTGGACTTGGCCCTCTCTTCCCTCCTCTTATGCTGGGCTCAGCAGGGAGTATGGAAGCTGCTCTGCCAGCTCTCTGCCATTGGAAAACCTTCAAGCTCTGGGAGATGTTTCAGAGTCTGGCTCTGCAGTTCAGTACAGCACTGCAACAGGCAGTGATTGCACCTCACCCGAGAGCTTGGGATTTTAGGTTCAATGCTGTGGCATGAAAATGTTGGTGCACACAGCTTTTCTGAGCTGGAGCAGGGACATGCTCATGCATAGCACTTCCAGTACAATTGCTTTGAATGCTTTCTCCTATGCTGTACTGAACGTGCTGACATTTGAGGGGGTAAAAATACTGACCTGCCTGCACACTGCAAGCCTAGTTTACATTTTGCAGCTCTAAATGGTAAACCTCTTTCCTGTCACCAGCTTTTTATATCTTGGTTTATAAGGCAAAGGGAAGAGGTGACACAGGTAACAGCATATTGAAGAGAGAGGAATGTTTGATGGTGGAGGGACAATGGCATTCATTTGATGTGAAATGTCACAGATTGCCTCATATTTAACTGTATGTAGAGCTATTGTCCTGGAAGTATTTTACAAATTACTCAGAACAATGTCAACTCCAGCAATTGGTTGCATTCAGCATAAATATTTTGAGTTATTCATTACCATTAAAAGAAAATAGTAATTGTTGCATCTTGCACCTTCTCTTTCTTTAAATGAAACTTGGCAGGACCAACCACTCCTTCCTCGTGCCAAATTATGCACTATAGAGTTCAGTCCATGAAAATTTATTGTTGCAGTTGATGTAAATTGCATCTAATGGGCAAATGAGTCACGGCTGTGCTTACAGCCAGCTTTGTGTTCTAAAGGCACATGCCAGCAGGTTGGATGGAAGCAGAGGCAGAGTAAACAGGGCTTATCTGTTTCCCCTCTCCTGTGACAGATTTCTTCTCTCTGCTGGGCTGCAGAGCTCCTGGGGATGGCATTCTTTGCTCAGGTGCCTTCTATTGTGGTTGCAGTGGCTGTAACAACCACTATGGGTTTAGGCCAAGGATTGAGGTCTACAGATGAGAGTGGATCTGAGCATTTAGCAGGATTTTAAGGACTCTTTATTGTGGTAATGAGCCACCAGGATACAGTTCATGTAGTTTCCCTGTGCCCCACTGAAAAATTAATTGAAGGCAGTTTGGGTACATGGCACTTAAAACTGGGGAGCATCATCTCATTGCCTTCCTGTGCTCCCAAATCTCCTGTAGCTGGAGCTCAGCCCTAATTTTGTTCTTGGGATGAGATTTGTTCATACAGCATCTCATGCCTGGGGCCCAGCCCCATCCTGGAGGCACTAATATGATGTAACTCTTGTCTGGTCAAACTGGGAAGCTAAACCAGTTTGGAATGCAGATGAAGAAGGGGTTCTGCCCTGCTGTGAAACCTTTCAAGGCTGATGTGGAGAATCCAGCTCTGCACTGGAGTGAGTCCAAACCTCTCTTCCCACTCTGGTTGTGAAGTACAAGGTAAATGAAAACATAGTCCTTATTTTGTGGAAAGGCTCTTGAAGGCTTTAGAAGAGAGAAAGATGACAGCTGTGGAGCAGGAGTGTCCAGAACTACTGTAGCATTTGTTAAGCTATTGACAAGAAAGTTTATTCTAGCCTTCTGTAACTTCATTTAAAATGTGATATAATTATTGTTTACGCTAAAGCTGCTTCCTGTTTCCACTATAGCAATTATGCCAGAGGCACACAATTTATTCCCAGTGTATCAGCCCAGGATATGGTCATTACCACATTAATGGGAAGTGCCTTCAAATTGTTACACTTGGCAATAACTATATCCTGGAGTAACAAACTTCTCGCCATTCAGCTCACAAGTTTATAAGCATCTCCTGATGAAAATAAACAGGAAAGCACTGATTGTCTTTCCCCTGCCCCATTGCTTCAAATGCACTTAATTTTAAATATGATTTTAGAGGAGAACCTGCTTCAAAGATGCTGCTACTGCACCAGTGTTTGCTAAAAGGAAGGGGTGAGTGCTCCCCCAGTGTTAAGGCTGCTCTGTGTTCACCTGATGCTGTTGCAGTGCTGTTACATTGGGGTAAGGAATGGGAAAGCTGGAAATTGCTTCTATGGAACTCAGTGGAAACAGTGACTCCCCAAACATCTTGCTGCCCCATCAGTTTTGCTGCTCTGGGGTGGTGTGTGCCAGGCTGGGGTGAGTGATGGCCTTTGCAGAGGGCTGGTCACCGTGAGGAAGTGCCACATGAAATGGTGATGTAGTTCTGTAGTTTGACTTGGATATTTGGCAGTGGCTGTTTTGGCCTCCTGGATGTCATATTGTGGCCATGACTTCTTTTAATTTCTTGAACCAGCTTTAAGCACCATGTTTACTGATTTTTGTTTCCAATGAGAAAATATGTAAGTTTTAATTATTCCAAGCTGAAGCTAAAAAGAAAACAAGCCTCTTGTTTTGAGGGAGTTAAGGGCCTGGAGTCCTTGGGCTCATTTTTTCTATGGGATTCAATCTGATTGCTTGTTTTGCTACTTCTTGCATTCCAAGCCTGTCCAGCTCCTCTGCTGTGGTGGGATGGTTTGGTGATAGGGAATGCCTGCTGGTTTCTGGCTGCTGATGCTACACCAGTGAAACCTGCCTGAGTTGTTTTAGATTGTGAAGTGTGTGATAGTTGAGATGTCATCCTCAGTTTTGCTTAAAATCTTCCCTGGCACTTCCTTCATGGTCTGTTGTGGGGGCTTGGTGAGCCACGTGTGCAGCTCTGCCAGAGGGGAAGTTTGGAAAGGCTGCACAATACTGCACGGCCCAGCTTGCTGGGGAAATGCTCCAGCATCCTGGGCTGCCTTGGAGTACAGATGGAAGAGGAAATTATTCTTACTCCAGTAAGAGAATTAATAACTTCAACAGGCAACCTCATGCATCCTATTCCTTTCCCCATGACCTGGAACTGGCAGGGCCTCGTGCATCCTGGCTGTCACAGGAGAATCAGCTGTGGGTAAACATTTCCAGTAGGATTGGAGTTTCCTGAACACCCTGTGTTCCCTCTGAATTAGTGCTGGTGTGCAGGGGGATTCCTGGAGGTGGCTGTGCCTGTGCCAAGCACATTTCACACCGTGTGAGCCAGCTCCTCACCTAGGACACAGCAGACTTCAGTGCTGCGCTCTCGTGGCTCCCTGCGCTCCTGGGGCTGGATCCCAGAGGCATCTTCTACCTAAATATTGGCAGGGAGCTTTTCCATTCCCCGTTTTTATGGACAATGAGCAGTTTGTGGGAGTGCAGGGCTCAGTCAGGTTTGTCTCTCATGGCAATTAGCTCAACAGCACCAATTATATTGGATTTGGCCAACGGGGGGGTAGTGCAGCTACCTGCTTAATTCTGCATTTAATCCCTTCAGGTCCTTCATGTATTTAAGAGCATCCACTGATGCTGTGCTGTCTGCAATGGCTACCAGGTGCTGGTTGCAGGAAAAAAAACCAAAAATAGTGCTTCTGGAAGGGAAAGTCAGCTTCTTGAGGCTATCAGATCTGTATGAAAGTTTGAAATTACGTGAGACATTGTTGTTATTAAAGCAAATAAGAATTTTTCCTGTACAGGTGCAGTTTGCTGTTCATCTTTAGTGGGACTGTCTTACGGACGGGTTTTTTTTCTGCTGTGTGCTGGGGAAAACCTTGCCATGCCACTGTCCTAGACTGGATATTGGGAAGTGTCTGACAAATGCTAGTGCTGGAGAGGATGTGTTTAAAATTATCCTGGCCTGTAACTGGCAGTGGCCCAGCCTCCTCTTCAGAATAGCAAAGCCAGGAAGGAGATTTCCAGGGCCTGACTGGAGCTCTTTGGCCAGGCCATCACACCAGTTCTGTTCTCATGATGCACTAGGGAGAAAAGAAAAAAATAGCTTTGGACTTCTTTCTGTATGTGAAAGGATTTGGAATATTTGCCAAAGGCAGTGGAGGGAAAATCTGCTTGTTTTGGGGTTGTTTTCCTCCTTTTGCTCCTGTTCCACATGCGTTCCTGGGCAGTGCAAGCTTAGCAGCTGTGCTGATGAGCAGGGGTGTCAACTATGAAGTGCTTCTCTTGGCTTGGCATGTGGAGCAGCCTGTGAAAATAAACTGGAAAACTTCAAAGTGTTTGCAGTGAAAGCAGTGTTCCCCATAGGAATGGAGAAGTGTTGCTGTTAACCTGCAAACCAGAGCTTTTGGCTAGAAAGAGGAAAGTTCAAGACATTCGTAGCACATGCTGGATGTTCTTGTGTGTTTGTTCATTAAAAGAAAAAAAAAAGATAACAGGGAGACTTTTTTTCACTGACCAGGCTCATTAAGCCAGAAGCAAACAACATTTTTCTGCTCTCTGGATTTTCACCAGTGTATGGGGCTAAACTGATTTCCTGAGGAAGCACAAGGGCTGAAGAGCAGTGAGCTGTGGGGCTTAGTGAGAACCAGATCAACTCACAGTCTCTTGAAGTCTCTCCCCCTAAAGGGGTACATGAGTTTCTGACCAGTGCTAGATTCACTTTTCACCTTGTTAGCTAATTCTAAGAACCTGGGACAAACTACTTTCCTTGCATTTTTAAGGGTACCTTCTGCAAAGTTTTAATTTTTCTTCTCTGTGTGTAGTACCTAAAATATAAATCATACAAATACTATTTAATGCCTGTCTACTGAAGTTACAATTAAATTATTATTTCTGCATGATTTGAGGCAAGAAATACTAATATAAGAAGCAAAGTATAAGAAATAATAACCTTTTAATGTATTTTTGTTGGTTGAAGTAAAGATTTAATGACTTCCACTTATTGTTGCTTTATGTTTCTGCAGGGATGTGAAAGCAGGAAATATTCTTCTTGGAGAAGATGGCTCAGTGCAAATTGCAGGTAACTTCCCTGGCAGCTTTGAGTAAACTTTAGGCATAACTGCATATCCAAGGAAATAGTTTAATGATCAAGGAGAGAAACCTGCATGAAAATGTTAGCTTCTAAAAGCCCCGCAGTTCATAAAACAATAAACAAACCACAAACTAAAACAAAAAGCCAACCCAGAGTTTGTTACATCTTGTTATCTTAAAATACTATTACTTGGAATAATGACCATCAGCAGATATAAATCATTTGACTGTGGAGTCCTCAGAATCAATAGATCAGATAAAGTTCTTGGCACAAGCTAGTCAGGTTTTTACATCAGCAAGGTTGTAGGCTTGGAAGTGGAGTGCACAGACCTCACTGATTTATCATTGACCTGTGAGGTGGCTTTCCACAGGTCTCTGGTGAAGGGTAGACAGATCCATCAGAAGGAAATGGACATATCTGATGGTAAAAGTCATTTAAGGAAAGATCAGCTGGTCAAACTGCTCCTGTGGATGCTCCCTGCTCTGCTTCAGTTGAGCTGGATGGCAGAGAGGATGTTTAAGTGGCTGCCCTGGCCCAGCCCAAACTGGGGTGAGCTGGAAGTCTTGGGAGCAGTCATGCAAAGCAAATCTGTTCAGACAGTTGCTTTAGCTCATACAGATGTGCCTGGAGATGTCTGCTGCAGTCACTGCTGCCATGAGCTGCAGCAGCAGAACTGTGCTGGAAACAGTCCTGGGTGGGGACAGACCATGTGGAAAAGGGTACTGTGGAAAAGGGTACTGAGTGGAGTGTTTTGTCCCCTGATCCTCTCCTGATACTTTATTTTATACATGTTCCTACAGACTTCACTCTTCTTTTCAGAAAACAAGAATTATGCCCTATCCCTGCAAACATCCAAAATTGAATGGGGCTCTGAGCAACCTGTTCTGGTTGAAGGTGTCCCTGCCCATGGCAGGGGGTTGGACAAGATGACCATTAAAGGTCCCTTCCAACCAAAACTATTCTGTGTTTTTGATTACTGTTATTATTATTACAAACTATTAAGTAAGCCAAGATTTTTGGAGAGTACATTTAGAACCTGTGATATTTGTTTTTCCTTCTCTTCCCAGTGTGCTGTTTTCCTATCCTGAGTACAATTTTTCTCCAATTCTCCTTTCCTCAGTACTGTGTTTTTCCCATGGATCTTGTAGTGCCTTTCCAGTCCTAGTGCCACCTGTAGCTGGGGAGCAGAGCTCTGTCCCCTGCTGCCAGCTTGGCAAACATCCCTGTACATGTGTAACATTTTCAATCCCATATTTAATTGGGAAGAGCCATACCTGTGTCTGACAAGGTCTTATCTTTAGTGCCCTGTCCTGCTGGTAGAGTCACAGCAGTGGTCAGGCCAGTGTGGTGGGAGTTTAGGGACAAGGCAGTGACAGTTGTGTGAGGGAGAAGTGCCTGTAGCATTGTTTATTCCTTTGGAATATCTATGCTTGGTTTTGCATCTTGCAATGAAAGGTGTAGATTTTCCAAAAGGAAGTAGAATATGTTGCAATGCAGTTTTTTCTAGGTAGCTCTCCTCTCTGCAGAGGACAATAAGCCCTTTTACAGGACATAACACCTATTCCTGTTTAAAAACCTGAAGTGTCTTTGTTTTCTTTTTTAAATGTCCTGGTGCCCTTAATGCCTGCTGTTACATTTCTAATGAGATGTAAATAATTCAGTTATGTGGCAGCTGATGGAAGGTAGGGAGTGGCTTCTAAAATGCTCAAAGGAGCAAACTTAATACAGTGAAATCCTACAGTTTTTTCCATAATAGGACCAAGATATAATATGCTGGATTTGCAATTGCACAGAGCTTTTGATACTGTTTTGGGAGAGGCTGCAAAAAGCTGAAACTCTGAGTGTTTCTGCCAGCCTAGAGAGAGCTGCTTGTGTTTCTCTTCCACAAGGCTGTCAGGCCTTGGCTTTTTTGTATTAAGGCTCATTAGCAATAGGTATTTGTGTATTTTTTTTCTGCTGAGCAATTTTCAGTTGATAAATAGATTTAAGGTTGACTGGTCTTAGCTCTGTGCATTTCAGAGGATTTATTTTGTCTGTGATTATACATGTTCCCTAGACTGAACTGCTTGTGGTTTATATGTGCAACACCTAAATGATGAAATTCATCTCTCTGCATATCCTGTGAAAGCAGCACTTGGAGATGTGCAAAGTTCCCTCTTCACAAATTCTTTCTTTGAACATGCAGAAGGACCAACCCTGCCACCTTTCATCAGCCACAGCAGGGCCACTAAACCAAGGTCAGAGGGTTCACTGCAGTGGCAGGAAGTATTTCAGTTTCTGTGGAGGCAGCTGATGACTTGAAAGAAATGAAAATAAATGAATGAATAATAGAGAAGAGCTTGACCTGGTCATAACATGAGATTTTGTTTCTGTGGGAATTTCTGACACTTAAGCTTCCTTGCCTCCTGACCCAGGATGAAGTAGCAGAATTTCTGGGGAATTTTTTTGAGGAGGAAAAAATGCTGGAAGCAAACCAATCCCAATAAAACGAGATTTGTTTCAGTGAGATCAAAGCACTTGCCTTTGACAATAATATTAATGCATATTGTGAATAATTCTGTTGATTGTTGAGTGCTTCAATTATGAGCTGGATGACATCACTTCATTCCCATGAAACAAATGCTCTTAAGTTTCTGTGGAAAGTTACACCACGAGATAAAAAACAAAAGATTGATCAGCTGTGGAATGTAGCCTGAGGGTTGGAGTGAATGGGGCACCTCCCTCCAAGGAGCTGGTTTGGTATACATGAAAAATTTAAATCATGTCGCAGGGAAGAAAGACTTCCATTCTTTTATAATGACTCCTTCCCTTCTGCACTCCTATCCAAACTGCCTGTGAACAGTTTTAAAGGAGGTCTTATTCAATCTTTGGCCTTTGTGACCTTGTGTTCCTGTGCCTTTCCTCCTGCTTGACACAATTCCTGTTCCTTGTCCCTGATGAAATGTAATTCTCAAATGTGAGGAATGTACATCTCAATGTGAAAATCCTTTGTGGAGAAAAAAGCATTTGAGATTGAGTGGTGGAAACCACCACCAGGACTGTACCTCCACAAGGTGTCAGTGAATTTAACTGCTTGAAACTTTCACTGTGTGGAATTCGTGGCAGTAATTTTGCTGCAGTGTTACACAGTTCTAATCAATGAAAATTAAAGCTTCTTTTGTGAATTTTGGGCTCTGTAATTCTGTTAAGGCTGAACAGAAAAAGCAGCTTGATGAAGGTGTGTCAGACATTTGTCAGGTTCTCTTTGTAACCCTGAATTGGTGTTCGTGCATATGGGGAGAGCCACTGTGGGAGCACTATGAGTTGAGCTTGCTGCAGGTAAAGAGATGGAGACATCTGTGAGCTTGGGGGCATCTGCTGGAATTGGGAAGTCTAAAAATTCCTCTAATGGCTTGCACAAATTCCCAGCTTGAAACTCCTCCCCAAGTCTTGTTTTTACTCATGACTCTATTTTTAACTGTGTCGCTCCTTTGGCTTTCAAAAAGTGCATCCACTGACCCAAGGAGAAAATTGCCTTTAACAGATCCAGCTGACCAGCGAGACCTAAAGTGAGGCAGTTTGCTTTTATCTTAACATTTCTCCTTTTTTCCCCAAGGGCACTTGGGCTTGTGGCTTGGCACCAAGTTTTTGGAGCCTGTTACAATTCACAGTGTCGCTTTCTCAGTTTGAAGTTCTCCTTCACACTGGATTAATCTGCCTTCTGGAGAGAGCAGGACTCTTTCCCAGATACCATTGTTCTGGGCTGTGCTGACAGTGGTTGCAATGTAAATGGAGATAGCCACGTTCTTTTGTGTTCCAGCCTCTCCCTGGCAATTACTTCATTTCTTTTAATCAGAGCATAAAACCTCTTTGCTCTGGCATTTATCAGCTCCCTGGAGTCTAAAAGTGCACGGATAAAAACACTCTGTCAACATAAAACTGCATCGGCATCAGTATTGATGCATAAGCCAGGAGATGGCTTCTCACAGTAAGCAAGGCTTTGCATTTGTCAGTTTATTTAATTATGCAGGACCTATAAATTACTGTGAAATGAAGTGAACATCTTGATAGATGAGGAAGGGATGGGAGAGGTTGAGGAGGAACTCTCCCAGGGTGCATGAGACTTGCTCAGTATGAGCCACGCTTCAGCCATGGCATGATCTGAGCATCCTACTGAGACTGAAATCACACTAGATCTTTGTTTTCCTCTGATTTTATCCACTGGGTTATTAAATAATGCTGTCACCCACCCCTCTGAGATTGAATGTGATGATACAAGTGTCTGCTGAAGGCTGAGAGGCACACATCCCTCCATGTGTGGAATTTTTTGGTTCTGGAGACAATAACATGATCTCTTCGGGATTTAAATCTAGAGAATTCTCAATGTGCACTCCCGAGAGGTGCCCACAGTGTCAGCTGTGGCCTGGGCAGGCCGTGTTGCCAAGCAGTTGAAGTAGATTGAGATTTCACTAAGTTGTTCAGGACTTGCTAATTGATCCTGGGCAAATTGCCTAACCCCTCTCTCTTTATCTATTTATAAAACAGGGATAGTTAAGGCCAGGCAAAACTTGTGTAACTGAATTTGTGTAACTTTCCACAAATCCATGCCAGCTTGTCACCGGTTCGCCGTGTTCCTGACTGCTCTTAATTCATGGCACTAAAATAGCGCTCTACATAAACATAGAGCTATGATGCAGGCAGTGTCATTCCCCACTTTCCCTTAGGAAACTCTAACTTTGGGAGATTAAATTGCCTGAACAAGGGGCAAGGCACAAATCTTACTTGGGAGGGGAGTGTTGATTGCAGGGTTTGCTCAAGGAGCCTGTGTTGTGTTATGAACACCTTGGAGCCTCTTCTGCCTTTCAAAAAAAGGGCCAAAAGTATTTTTCTCTGTGATTGGTGGAGACTTCTAGCAGAGAGTTGTGAAATAACTTCTTTGTGTCACTGGTACTATCTGTGTTTCCTGAAGAGATGTTGCACTGTTTGATTGTTGAAACCACTTGTGAACGTCTCCGAGGGCAGTGAGTGGCGTCACCCAGCCTGGGATTTGTCATCTTGAAGTTACTTTGTGAAGTAGGAGGACAAGTGTGCATTTACAGATCCAATACCACTGTGCATCAATCTAGACTTTAAAAGGAAAGAAGCCTTTGATTCTTGTTCTCCACTAATCTTCCTTTTATCTGGTGTCCTACCACCTGCTGCGTTCTCAGCACAAAATTGCTATTTATCACTGCCTTCCTCTTCTTGCTGCCAGGTTCATTCATCTTCAGTGCTCTAAAAGCTTTAAGGTTTGCAGGAAAGCACTGAGTAGAACTGCAGATATTTTCTGATGGTGAACAACTGAACAAGAAGGAAGGTGACCAGTAAAAACAACATCTAGCGCTGTCTTCTGAAATGCTTTTTGTTTAAAGACAACTCAAAGTGGTTTTGAAGTCAAGATTGAATTATTCTGTTTTTCTGCCCCTGTTGAAGTTGAAAACTGCTTTAGGGTGTGATTCAAGCATACAAAACTCTGTAGGAGCCCCTCTGATATCAGCAGGTTTTAGTCCTGGCTTTTAGTGCTCGTTCTTCCTTTCTTTCCCTTCTCTGTAGCTTGTAGGTAGCTACATGTAGTAGCAGGTACTTGGGCTTTTTAGGATGAAGGTAATGTTACAATATGAGAGGACCAAGGAGAGATTATTTTTAACAGCTGACTTCTAGATTTGGATGAAACAGTCTAGAGTATTGTAGACATGTATCTTCCTGAGAGACACCTGCAGTGGTGCCTGTTGTGATGTGATCCTGCCACAGCATTCTTATGTTGCCAAGTTGTTTGTACTGGGTTGTCCTTTTCAACTTCTACATTTCCTGAGTAGTTTTTAAGTTTGACAATTTGGATACCATAGTACCAGGAATTTTTGCCTCACATGCTTTTTCAAACACTACAATGCAACTTCAATGCCACTGCAGAGTGTCCTGTAGGATATGTGGTTTGCAACAGATTTCTACTGGAAGAGACAAAATTGGCCATATTTTATGTAGAACCTGCATCAGCACAATTGAATTCCCATTCTGGATTGGTTTTACTGTGATGTACAAGTCTGGAGATACACTTCTTCATGGGTATTTTTTTTAGCAATCTTTGGTTTAAATGACTGAAACAACTCCAACCGATGAATCTTTTCTACATTGCTTCGGAAAAATTGAAAAAAAAAAAAAAGGAAAAGATCCCACCACTTCCATCCAGACACCCTGGAGACTGTTTGCTATCAGATTGCTGGTGGTCTGCAGTTTTTGGGCTCCTTTAGGATATCTGACAGTCGGTGCATCCCCAGCAGTGGTGGTTACTGGTATTGCAAACCGGGTCCAAGCCTTTCCAATTCCTCCCTGTCTCTGGTGATTCAGTCCTTGCCAGTTATCACTGGAGTGAGCCAATGTAAACCACGAGCTGCCAAGGAAGAGTACAAATCTGTAAACACTTTGGAGCTATGCTGAATTTCATGGATTTCCCCATTTTCTAGAGTTCAATTCATTTGCAATAAACTAGTTCTGTTTTAACCTTTCTGGGGGCAGACAGACTGAGGTCCCAACTGCTCAGAAGGAATTTAACCTGAACTTGTGGTTGGAGTTGTGTCTTATTGCTCTGCAGATATTTCCTGAGAGCAGGCATATTCTTATCTAAATGGCTGGGGCTTGGATAAAGTTAGTAAGATGACATTTGAGAAGATGGTCCCAAAGTCATTCCTTACAGGGGAGTAGCACAGGCTGTTTGAGCCTGTTTTAGCCCACTGGAAATGAGGAAAATTAATTGGGAAAACATTAAATAAGTCAACCATGTAATGAAATAAACTTTAATTCCATTTAAGCTTTCTTCAGATGGCAGATGTAAGGGCCTGGTTTCCATCTGGAATTTATAAACCCTGGTTTGATGTGAGATGTGGTGAATACTGTGTGAAGGACTTGTGTTTTTATTGCTGGAATGCTTTTGCTTTGAATGGCATTTCCTTTCCCCTCAAAATGACTGCATGGAAACTTGAGGTAAGATAATATGTGCAAGTTCAAATACAGCACATCACAATAAAATGCTGATGGCACTTGGACAAGTTTCTGTTAGTATTATCTTATTTAAAAGAACTTCTGATTGCTCTTGTGTTTAGAACAATAGATCTTGGGAGACTTCCTGTAATGAGCAGTGAAAGGCAACTTTACTCTGAGTCTTTTAGGGAGCTCCTGCAGTTTCTGAGAAAAGCAGAAATGGTGGATACTCACATGGAAGATCTCAAAGCAAAAATCACTTTTGCAAAAAGTCGATTTCCAGAAGATTCAGATTGCAGTACTGATGGGGACAGTGATCCATCTAGGAGTGATAAATCTTCAAGCATAGCAGGAAGCCAAAATGCCTTTGGGAACAGGAAAAGAACAAGTCAGCACATCTGGAAGAGCTGAATCCATTTAATGATAGGCTTTTGTTAGTGCTTATTTTAGCCCTGTGATTTCTATGCAACTTTATTTAATGTCACCTTGCAGTTACCCGTGTCTAGTACTTCAGTGAGCACTAAGTTCCTCTCCTGGAAGTCTCTAACTGAACTGAGCTGGAAGCTTTCAGCATCTTCTGAGTGATAATTTCAGAGGTGTTTCTCAAATATTGAAATTCTAATGAGAAGTGACTCATTGCACTGCTGGTGTGATGCAGAGGGAACTTGGGACAGTCCTCATATGGATACCATGACTTACACATTGTAAGGAGGGATTTATATTGCAGTTAATTGTCCAATTTAACATCCTTAAGCCATGGAGTAACTCTGGCTCCTCTGGCCACAGAGGCAAAGGCTTTTACATTATGCATTGTGAACAGTCTCAAGAATTTTCAAACTGGCTGTCATTAATAATGGTCTGGTTTTATGTTAAATAGCCCTGGAATTTCAGAGATTTGCTCTCCAAGTCTGTCACCAGTCTCAAAAATGGCATCTGAGATTTTGATACTTGTACTGTGTATAAAAAAAAAAAGTGTGTGTTTGGATAAAGTTATGGGGAAATGAGTTATATATTGAGTTATAGGCTCTTTGCAGGCCTGTAATTCAGCAATACATAAATAGTGTGGTTTAGAGCAGTTCAGTGTTAACAGTTTCCCTGTCATGATATTTTTTTTTTCTCCAAACAAAGTGCCATCCTCTCTTGAATGACTTGGTTGCCAGATCTTTGGTAATGCTCTTCTCTGAACAAACATGCTTTATTGCTATCCCTGTATGCTGCTGCTGGTAACAGATTCTGTTTTCCATGCCATTCTTAATTGCATAAAACATGAGGTTACGGCATAGTTTTCAAATAAAAGAGTGATTTTTCCCAAGAAATGCAATTGCTAGTGAGCACAAAGGGCATCCTTGAGCATCCTGGTTTTTGAAAGGTGTTTCAGGTGGGGTGATGCTGTGCAGGGTGTGAATCAGTGTTTGTGAGGCTTCCCTGGGATGCTCAGGCTGGTCTGTGGCACGTTCAGTATCATCAGTCTGAGGTCCTGTTAAAGCACTGAGCATTTCAGCCATGGAGGATTATCAACTAAAACATGTTCTGGTAATAAAAAAATCCAGAATAAAGGGCTGATACCTCAATTAGGACAGTTAAATGCTTTCAAGGGACTTTTTCTTCACCCATCTTGGTTGCTGCTTGAGGGTCAGTGCAGTTATGTGTGTATGCAAATGTAAATACAGCTCTGGCTGGCAGGGCAGGTTTTGTACAGCAGCAGGGCTGCTGGGGGAGTGTGGGCAGGCTCTAATGTGACCAGTGGGCTGTAAAGGAAAGTGGAATTTTCCTCTCTGCCAGCCAGGGCTGAAAGCTCTGCTGTCCCCTGGAACTGAATGGTGAACTGCTGAATGGCAGTTCATGTACCAGCACTCTTAGCTAACTGTTGATCATTCCTCCTTTATTAGGAAACCCCTCATGCGTGACTGCATGGTCTGGGTGGCTGGGAATATGAGGGGAAAGAAGGGACAGCCCTTCAGTTTGCTCAGGATGTGTTCTTAATTAATTCTGCTTTTGTTTTCTTTTCAGACTTTGGTGTTAGTGCATTCCTGGCCACTGGTGGTGACATTACCAGGAATAAAGTCAGGAAAACCTTTGTGGGTACACCTTGCTGGATGGCACCAGAAGTTATGGAACAGGTGAATTGGCTTTCCCAGTGTCCTCTGAGCTGATCTGCACCTGGAATTCCCTGTTATCAGCAATGACTGTGTTTATTTCTAAGATGATAATTTGACATCCTGAAGAGTTTTCTTAAACACAGGATTTTCTTTGACTTGCCTATTGCAGCTAGCCTCTTACTGGGGAATGTTAATTGTTCAGTAGATTTTTGCCCCATTGCTTCTCTTCAGGCTCCTGCCTAAGGTGAGGATGAGACAGCTCAGTTGTTGCATAAAGAAGATTAACCTGCCCCTCCCTTTTGTATGAATGTGAGGTAGAATATAAATAGTTTCATGGTAAATATGCCATACACAGCTCAGTAACGTGCTCTTCTGCATCTGCAAACACAAGATTTGGGATAGTTTGTTGTGCTATGTCAGAATGGGGAGTTAATTCAGTATAATAACGTGCATTTGACTTACTATGTCAGAGTGGGGAGTTAATTCAGTATAATAATGTGTATTTGACTTAGTTCAGTTTTAACTTCTCTTGGCTTGTGAGTATCTAAATGTTGAGGAATACTTCCATCTCCCCCTTCTTCCTCTGCTCTTTTGGATCACTAAAAGATTTCATACTTCTTCCCCTTGCATGGGGAAATGCCACTTTTTGTCCTCCACTGCTTCTAGACTAAACTACAGAAGCTTTGTCTGTGTGACTTCTGGTGAAGGACACCTGGAAACTTTGTTTAATGTAAAATTGCTGCCCATTTCTTAGCAAGATTCACAGAGAAAATTGTACCACAGTCTTACCAAGGCATGTGCAGTAGCTATTGATGGCATTGATGTTCATTGCCATGAACATTCTGAAAATTATCCCTCATCACCTTAAAATCAGCTTGACATAGGCCTGGGTTTCTGACAGAGGTGCTAAGCAGAATGTAACTGGCTATAAATGGGTTTCCATTTTTCTTTCCAAATTTTTTAAACAAAAGTATTTAAGTATTTGTTTTATTACAGTAAATCTACCCTGATAGATTTCTCCTTGCTTTTTTTTCCAGTAAAATATTTTGAAGCTTCGGAGGATCTTGAATAAGACCCCTATGTATATCTGTATCTAAAATCAAATGCAGCTAAACACAAGTGCATTTTTTCCAATATCTAAAACTCCCTGAGGAATGGAGGTAATTTTGGAGTAGCTTAAATATATTATTGATGAAAGGCTTGTTCAATGTTTGGCCTTTTCAGTGGCTCCCCATGGTGGGACTGAGGGCCCGGTGCATTCCAGCGCTGCTGCAGCCTCCTCAGAGTGCAGGACTAACAGGGAGGGATAAAGCCACACTTCCCAAGTCAGGGTTGTCTTTGCAAACTTGATTCTGAACTGCTTCACTGTCATATTCTTCTGGATTTTTTAAAATTTATTGCTGAGTTAAAATAAATGAAGAATATTTGGTATTTCTGAAGTAGATCAGAGCTGTCCCTTGCTTTTCTGTCCTGTGTGTCGTGCCCAGGGTTCAGCAGCCTGGCCAGGACCTAATGGTGCTGTTCCAGGCTCTTTGCAGCTGCAGTCCTCAGGACAAAAGGGAAAAATACCTTCAGAAGGGAGCTGAAAATGGTTAATAAAGGTTTCAGTGACAAAGTGGGGGGTGGTTCCCCACAAATGTGTTTCCAAAGGAGGTAAGCTTTTTATGGAGTGCAATACCTCCATCAAGGCTGTGCACATCTAACCAGTTGGAAATATCAAGTTAAAGCAGTATTTGGGATGCTGATGATGCTGATGTGAAATCCTTCAATGTCCATTATTAGATGATCTTGCTGCTTTCCAGCAGGTGTCACTCTGAGCCACTGGATCCAGCCGGGAAGAGGGACAGAGGGCTTGCTCTAAGTTAGCCTTTCACTTGTAGATATTATCGACCCAATTCCATCTGGTTTACTTCAGCAGCATTAAGTTCCTTCAGAATGTTAATATTTGATTGCTCAACATTGTCTTTTAATGTATGGCAAAAAAAAAGAAGTTGATGAGAAAAATAAATGTTGTTGATATAAACTAACTGCAGGGTGGTGACTAATGTATTGGACAGATGTCAAGATGAACTGCTGCAGGCAGTTTTGAGCTTTTTAGCTTTCACTTGCAATTTCACTATGTGAAATAATGAAAAAAAATCCTTGCACTAAACAGTTAAAATCCTGTCAGGAAATGGAGAGATCTACAGTGTATTGGTGTGCTGCAAGAGTAACTGAAAGATGGAGCTAAGAAATGCTCAAAAGTTATTCTCCAAACCTAAAAATAGTGTGAGAAGACAAAAAAACCACCCTTACAGTGTATTTCTTCTTATCCTGTGCTCTTTTAAATGTTACTAGATATCTGCTTGTTTATTTAACTGACTTGAAATCTGTTCAAAGTCATGGCATCCATAAACTGAGGCAATTCAAGAAACATTTCAGACTTTTAGGACTCATGAAAATTGTGCTCACAGAGTGGAAGAAATCGGTGCAAGATGTAAATTCCTGTCTCTATAACAAGTTTCAGTCCAACTCTAGTATTACATGACAAATAGTACAGGAGGGGTTTTTGTTAGTTTGCCAAGATTCAAGATCATCTTTAAGGTAGCTTGGGGAATGCTTTTTGGCTGCATCACAAGGAGTGTCTTTCTGAAGCTTGTTAGGTTAGCTGAGCACAGTGCCCCTGTTAGCTCTGCTCTGATGCAATTTTCATTTTTCCATAGCGTAGTGAGAAGAAACACAAACCATCCTAAGCAACCAAAATGCTTTGATTTTCGGAGGTGCTCTTGAAGTTAGTACATAATGTCTCTCCCCTGCAGTGGAGAAAGCAAGTGCCAAAATATTACCTAATGATAATGAGGAAGTAACTGCTTTGGCATATGAAATATTTTTTCCTGTGCAGGAGGGGAAGTAAATGCCATAAATTTTCCTGAACAAGCCTGTGTTTAATGTCAAGTGCAGAAGCTACTGTTAATTAGTGGAGAGAAACATTAGTCTGCAGGCAGGAATGAGGGGCTTTTACTGGGCTGGTGTGTCGTGAAGTTCCAGGATGGAGCATATTTGCAGTCAGGTTGATTAACAGTGTAGTGAGGCGGGTGTCCCAGGGGGTAGCAGTCCATCTATTAACTATGAGAGTTTTATTGCACTGTGTAATGACTCTCTGTGTCTGTGTGTAGAAGTCAGAGCCTGGGTTAGCCCAGTGCCCCTTTATGTTCTGCAGTGCAGTTTATGGCAGAGCAGTCCTGGTTGTACAGTGCACAGCCATGATTTTCACCAGAGCGTGGTGAAACAAAGAAAACACCTCCTGGAAGGTATGAGGAGCTGGGGGGAGAGAAGGGAGAAAGTGTTGTTTCCATCTCTATAGTGCTGGTCTTTCCAAATTTGTATGGAAAGGGTGTGTGAAAGGGATGGTAGTGTAGGACAGCAAGAGGCACATGATAACATCCTCTAATATTTTTCAGGTCAGAGGATATGATTTCAAGGCAGACATCTGGAGCTTTGGGATCACTGCTATTGAACTGGCCACAGGAGCAGCTCCTTACCATAAATACCCGCCGATGAAGGTGAGCAGATCTCCAGATATTTGTGAAGATAAGGGATCAGTGTGTTCTGTAGATGTTTTCAAGAATTTGGCTAGCATGTTGAACAGAAGAGTTTGTCCTCTCAACTTAGTACATTGCATAGAAGAGTTTGTCCTTTCAACCTGCACTTGTGGATCATGATGTTCTGGGATGTATCGAGTCACCTTTTAAAAATACGCCACTTCATCAGCATTATCTGAACCTGCAGTTTTTATTTAGATCCTGAGTCTCACCATTCTTAAGGAGAGTGCTGTGTGTTTTCAACCTCTGAAGTCAGCAGATGTTTTTAGGATTATAAATAATGATCCAGAATGCCTTATGGGTACCCAGTGACACTTGGCTAGCCATTCTTTCTCTTGCACTGATAATCCTTCTTAACGCCTGTCAGACATTCTCTTGATATCTCTCCTGTTACCAGTTATCCAAAAGAATGTTTAATTTTGTTTAACACTGGCAATCCTGTCAATCACTGATTCCGTTCAAAGTACAACATCAGTATGAAACTGTGGTATTGTCAACAATAGTATTTTATTAAGGTTGAAATGAAAGAAATGTTCTTCTTTAAACCATGACACACCAAAATTCTTGTTTGAATATCTTGAACCTTAGATCACCTTATAAGTTTGGGTAACTCTGTTTCGTGACTCTTGAACCAGGAGCTGCTTCTAGCATGCTGCTCTTTCAGGGGGAGGGTACATCTCAAAGTAAAGGTTGACACCCTGCAGCTGGGGTCTGTAGCAACCTGTCCTTCTACTGAACTTTGAGATCTTTTTCCTTATCCCCTTTTTGATATCTGATGAGGCCTTGTCTCAGTCACAAAACTTTAAGCCCCTTTGGCCCATCCTCATGAAGGCCACTTCGATTCTCCTCCTGGGATGTGTGGTCCTTTGGATCAAACACAAGCACGTGGAGAGCCTGTTCTACCCCTGAGGCTGATGGTTAGAGCAGTGACCTGGCATATGAGGCCTCTGGGTGTCAAATCCCTCTGTTGTTGGCATTGGGACAGTGATGTTTTACACAGGCAGATAGTGATAGGACAAAGGGGAGTGGCTGTAAATTGAAAGAGGAGAGATTTAGATTAGGTGTGAGTAAGGAATTTTTTAATCTGAGGGTGGTGTAGGCACTGGAACATGTGACCCAGAGAGGCTGTGGATGCCCCATCCTTGGAGGTGTTCAAGGCTAGGCTGGGTGGGAATTGGAGCAGCCTGGGCTAGTGGAAGATGTCCCTATGCATGGCAGGGGGATTGGAATTAAATAAGCTTTAAGGTCCCTTCTAATCCAAACCATGGCAGGGGGATTGGAATTAAATAAGCTTTAAGGTCCCTTCTAACCCAAACCATTCAGTGCCACTGTGGGCAAACTACCATTTTTGCAGTCTTACCTGCTGAAGTGCTGTGGGAGTTGTGTCACTTCTTCAGGACCTGGGTGCATCCCCTCCCACACCACAATCACAATGGCATTTGGAAATCCAGCTACTCCTATGGCATATCCATGACAACTTTGCACAGGTTCTACTCTTGTAGAACAGAATTACTTTTAAGAATTGGCATCTACATGCAGGGACTGTTGAGAAGCTGAGTAGTTCAGAAATGCCATTAAATTTCCTACAATATCAGTGGCTGTGGCAGGGCAAAGAGCAGTTCAGGGGAAAGTGCTGCTGGTTTCATTGATATTTCCTTCTGGGCTGTGATTACTGGTAGCATTTTACAGCAGCTCCTGCAAATTTTACTTCAGTTTATTGTGGTTTGAATGCACAGGATGAAGCTTTGAATACCAACATCACCTATTTAATATCAACAGCACCTGCTTAGTGCTGTCATATGCTAGACAGAACTGAGTCCCCAGTTCTGTGAGGTTTGGGTTCCAGTCATGCAGCCTGCAAGAAGATTTCTTTATTTTATTTATTGAAAGTAATTTTATTGCACTGCAGATTAATTTTGTTATGCAGCAAAATTACTCATGCATTAAGTGACCCTTCAAGGAGTGGGGAAGAAAGCAGGGAATTCTGTCATGGGCTGTGTAATTTCAGCTAGATTGATGGGCTTTTGCTGCCCTAAGCAATATGGCTGTTGAAAGCTATTTAAATGTGCTATGTGCTGTTTCCTTTTCTAAAAATAGATACTCATCTGTATGTAGGTGACAAGTGGAAATGGAAATGAGTAATTTTCTTCCTTTCCTTCGGAATATTTAAGTGATGTGAGGGAAAGAACTAGTTTGGCTTGATAGCTGCTTATGTGAGGAATGTCTTCACCTGCTGTCACATTGGTACCTGGAAGTGAACTCATGTATCTTTTTATGTTGCCCCTCTGTCTTTAATTTGATTTCTAGCTAAGAAATACCTCAGGGAGGTACATTGAATCAAAAGCTTTGCACAACTGCTCATCTTGAATGAGGAAAACTGATAGTAGTTCTGCTCTGCTTGCACTTTTAATCCCACAAAACAGACCTGAAAACACATTCCAGCATTGTGTTTGGCCCACAGACTGCAGTGTGGGCCAAGAGATGGGATGGAAAGCAGTAACTTAAATTTTGGGTCTTTATTGTTAACACATGCTTGTTGACTGAGATGCTTGATGAAAGTGCTTGTCTGAAATACATTTCCCCCAAGATCTGTCTCTGACAACATCCAAGAAAGACCTCATTGCCAATAGCAATAATTTTTTAGGTTTTGATGCTGACACTACAAAATGATCCTCCATCTTTGGAAACTGGTGTGCAAGATAAGGAGATGCTGAAGAAATATGGGAAATCATTTAGGAAGATGATTTCATCGTGCCTACAAAAAGACCCTGAAAAAAGGTAAGAATGGATCACACCAAAATAAATTAAAACAAGCAAGCAAACAAAAAAAAATCCCTAACTCACAAACATCATTATGTTCCCTATTTTTTGAAATTGGTATACCCTCTGCCCCTCCAACTTTTCAGTCACAAGGAACACAGCAATCCTACTGTGTGGCAACAAATTCTCTTGGCTGTCCTTATTTTTATGGATAAATATCTGGCACTGTGCCTGGCCAGGGCACACATTTTCCATTTGGGTTAATGAGAGTGCATCCCAGTCCACTGCCTGGGTAGGGCCATTCTCCCTTGGCCACCTCCAGCAGGTGACTTCAGTTCATGTTTTGTTCCCAGTCAAAACTGCTTGGTGTTTACAAATCAGAAATTACAGGTTAGGCAATATGTGTTTACTTGCAAACTACATAAATAAACGTTTTAAAATTTAACAGTGCAGAGAAGGCTTTCAGTGTAGTTTTGACTTGTTTAATTATATGTCATATTTGGTTTGGATGGGAAATCAGGAAAAACACTGACAAATTTTACCAACATGTTTTCATCAATACAGATTGCTTAAGTGACCTGATGACACTTTCAGCCTTCCTTGAACAGTATCTTGACTACTCAGTGACGTAGGAAATATTACCAAGGGGATGGTGTGTCTGCTGTGCTATTTTTTAATACCTCTTAGGTTGGTTTTTTTTTCCTCCTCAGTAAGCAGACTTAATTTTGGAAAGGAAAAAGTGCTTTCATAAAATAATAATAATGAAGACATTTTCAGTTCCCTCTTGTGTCAGATCCAGGAACACGGGCTTCTCACGCACTGTGCAATGAGTCTCTCTCTTCTAACAAGCATTACACTTGAAGTGCATAATGAATCCAGTGGAGTGCTTGATAAAAGTTGATAGCTGCTTTTCTTTTTCCCCAGTATGACATTTTTTCACCTTTCTAAAGCATATCCTATCCTTGCAGGTTAGGATATGTGCTGATCAGGTTATACATAATCACTGAATTTTGGGATACCCCTTCACTCCTCAAGCACTTCTGACAGCCACTGGCATTGTCCTGACTGTGGTAGCAGAAGGTTGGCATATTGCATGGGAAGAGAATTTAGTGCAACTGCTTTTTCATTATTTTAGGGGCTCCCTTGCTCTGAGGTGGATGCCTTTTGTTGGAGTACTCTGTGATGAAATAAACCCTGTGATGAATGGCCTTTGCAAGTCATTGATTAAACTCTGTTACTATTTAAGCACTGTTTGCAGTGTGGAAAATGCTGTAAGCTGCCACCTTCTTATGTAGGCTTGAGTCTTTAGCAAATTCCTCCTAAACTGACCAAGGGCTGTCTCTCACTTTCCAATATTTATTCTGAAGTCTGACTTAAAGGGGAAAATAGTTTATACTTGTTCATGTTCTTTTGGACCAAGATTGATCATCCTGCCTGTGTTTAATAGAACTAATTACACACATTTAATCAGGTATCTCTGAAATAACTGTTACTTGCACAGGGTGAGTACTGCACTTCAGTGACGAGTCTGTGATTTCCATTTTGAGCAAATTTTTTCTGTGATTCTGTTGTTATCTAAGAGTCTCAAATTCAGCATCAAAATGGGAGCAAATTCTCCCCACCAGTCCCAAGTTATTCATTGCTTTTGAACAGAATAAGCTTTGTTCAGAATACACTGAGTAATTTAAAAGATTGCTGGTGTAAAATTTACTTGGAATACATTGATTTTAGGGGAATTATACAGGAGAAGCTGATGCCTTCACGAGATGCCAACAAGCTGCAGCAGCCTGGAAGACCGTTGGGTTGAAAGGGAGCATTTATAATTGTCTTTTCTACATCTGTTTTTATTGACAGACCAACAGCAGCAGAACTCCTAAGACACAAATTTTTCACAAAAGCAAAGGTAAGAAAACACTTCCTAAACTGATTTGTGCAGAGGCTGTGCAAAGGACTTTTCAGAAGCACGATAGGTATGGGTGACAGCTTTACTGGCAGAAGTGTGGGCTCTTTCACTTGGAGCCAGCAGAGCTGAGTGAGTTGAATGGGTCATTGTGAAGGAGCAGAATAAAATCCCCCTTCTGTATCTCCCGTGTCTGCTGTTGTTAACAGAAGTTATCTAGGAATTCTTGAGCATTTAAATGTCTTTCAGTGCCTTTTGGGTTTGTTCTTCCTTTGCAATGGTGCCATTCTGGCTGCCTGTCCAACCATAAAGGTCTCTGCTGCAGTGAGTGTAACTTTGATTTTAGTAAACTCTCTAATCAGTCTGTGTGCGAGGGGCTGAATGAGGCCCACTGTGCAAGAGCTACCTGAAGATGTTTCACCCTGTGCTGCCTTATGGAAAGTGAAGATCCTGTGATACAAACCAGTGGGAAACTCCCATTTCTAGCCTTGGAGTGAACTGCCAGCAAGCATTATGTAATTACTGCCTGGAGATTAGTGCATCTGCAACGTGCGAGGCCTTACTGCGGGAGACAGACAGCAGTAACGCAGGGCAGGATTTACATTTCCATGAGCATGGGGAATGTTTTCTGTTTGCTTATTTTTTTTGTGATCAAAGTGCACAGGATTTATAGCAGAATAAAGATTAAACTGTCAGAAAGAGACTGCATACTTGGCATAGCTCAGCAGCATCACCAATTAATCAGAGTGGTTTTCAACTCCCAGATTAAGATGCTTAAATGGAATTGGCCACACCAGGTATCTGTACGGGAGCTGGATGCCCTATTAAAGCTGACAGGAATCTTTACAGGTGCAACCCAGGGAGAGTTGCACTTCCTCTTCATGAGGAGAAGCGCAGGGTCAGCTGCTGATCTCTTTGGTGACCAGTGACAGGACCCAAGGGAATGGCCTGCAGTTGTGTCGGGGATGTTTAGTTTGGATATTAGGGAAAGGTTCTTCCCCTGGAGGGTGGTGGGGCACTGAACAGGCTCCCCAGGAAATGGTCACAACCTCAAGGCTGCCAGAGCTCCAGGAGCATTTGGACAACGCTCTCAGGTGGGATTGAGGTGTCCTGTGCAGGGCCTGGAGTTGGACTCAATCCTTGTGGGTCCCTTCTGACTCAGAGTATTATGTGATTTGTTAATTTTATGAGCCAGGGAAGTCTGGAGGATGATCCAGTTGATGAAATGCAGAAGTTTGCTTTAGGGCAGGTTTAATTGATGTCTGGGCTCTTGACAGTATTAACTGGGGTTTCACTGTCCGTAGTGGGATTTTAGGCAGCTGATTAGTCTGCATCTGTATGCTGGGTGCACACTTGGTGTCCAAAGTGACAAGATGGTTTACACATTACCGACCTTTCTCCGTTTGGTTCTGCAAGTTCTGGTTCATGTTACACTTCATTGTGTGTTAAATCTCCTTCGTGCTTTCATTAAGCTGCTGGAGACATATTAGCATGGGTGGTGATAGAAAATTAACATTATTGTAAATGAGGCACTGCTTAACCTGGCATCCTGTGCCAGTTCACACTTGGGGTTAAATTACTGTCACACATCAGCCACTGCCAAACTGACAGCTGGAGCTTGAGGGCTGAAGAGTGCAGCTCCTATACATCTATATTGAGTCATATATTTAAATACCATCTAGGTTATGTAAAAGTATGGTTTGATAATGCTGGGAGCCACTTATCAGGAATGACAGTGTGTCTTGAGACTCTCCATCCTGCCTGCAAGCAATCATCCTGGGGGAGTTCTGGGAGTTCTGCGTGGGCAGGGACAGCAGAGCTTTCCAATTGCACTGGTGTGGTGTGGAATACCCAGCCAAATGCCAGAATGCTGGCCTGGACTGCCTGCTTCCCCTGCTGCTACAAGTTTGGCCCCACAGTTCAGCAGTGAGAAAATTGTATTCTCAGGAGCCCACATTGACCAGTCTGGAGCAGCTTGCTGAAGAGGAAATTTAATTCAATAAAGCATCATAGCAGTTCCTCAGTATTTAGTCTGTTGTAATCACTGCATTTACTTCCTCTCTAAACATAAATGCTGTAAATTTTTTCAGCCACTTTAAATCTTGTTGTCCCAGTTTCTGTTTGCTCCAGCACAGAGGGATTCCTACATCCCAGCCTGTTTGAGGTTTGCCTTTGACAGTTGGACAGGCATAAATTTAGGAGTAACATAAAGCAAAGTGGTTGAATCCAGGTGGTGTAGTAGCTGCAAGTGGAAGAATGCCAAATGCCTCAGCAGGGTACCAGATACTGCAGTATAATATGTGTATTTCCAAATAAATCAGAATAATATCCAGCTCCTCAGTTGTTAATTCCATGTCACTTTGCATAAGGAGAGTGCCACTGTTAACTGAAAAGGTATTTAGGATGAAACATCACATACTGCAGCCCAAAGTAGGGGAGTGGTTAATATCCTTGGGGGAGTAGGGATGAAACATGTAAACCACTTTCTGCTAGAAACAACTTAACAGTTACTTCATCAGAGACAGCGAAAGCACCAAAGGACATTTTCAGCAATTAAAATGTTTGGTATATTTTTCTTTGCAGAATAAAGAGTTTTTACAAGAGAAGATGTTGCAGAGAGCACCAACAATCACTGAAAGATCCAAAAAGGTACTGAAAACCTCCTGGGCTCTTGCTGTTACAGTTGTACTATTTTTTGTGCTTGTATTCACATTTTAATAATAACTACTGCAGTACAGTTTTTTCTAGGTAGAGCTATTAGTTTCAATAAAATAATCAGACAGCATGGCAGGTGATGGAACCTGAAGATGTTCTGGTGCTATTTCTTCTAAAATCAACTGTAGAAACTGTTTGATTGAGATGTAATTCTGTGCTCTTGTGCTGGGCAGGTCCGGAGAGTCCCAGGCTCCAGTGGGCGTCTTCATAAGACTGAAGATGGTGGCTGGGAATGGAGTGATGATGAGCTTGATGAAGAAAGTGAGGAAGGCAGAGCAGCAATTTCACAGCTCAGGGTGGGTCCTCAAACTCCACTGTCTATGTTTTGTTGTCCAATTGTGGTAGGTCTAAAAATATTTGGGGAGCACACGGCCTTAAGCATGATACACAGCAAGCTGTTGTAATCCCTTCCCTCGAGTTGGGAGCTGAAGCAAAGAAAGCAGACTGAAGGTTGAAGAAATTGTATTGATCTTTTCTGTCATTATGGGGCACAGCTGGTCTCATTCAGGGATGTTCAGCATAATTGGAAATGTTAATTCAGACAGCCTGTTCCCAGCTCAGCATACTAATATACTGCAGCTAGAATATTCCCTTTAAGGGTGCTGACTGCTTGAGATGCTTTTTTCTGGAAGTGTCAGGAGAGGTTTTATCCTACTGCCCTCTCCAGGATGGAGCTGAAATCAATAGGGCCTGTTCTTATGGCTGATGCCTGAAACATGCAAGGCCTGGTTCTGCCCCCCCAGTTACACTGAAATCCATTAATCCTGATAGAAAACCTCACAGCATCCCTGAAGTCACGGGAGGGATTATTCTTGTCCTTGAAAATCCTCAAGAAAACACCACTTTCCCCTCTCCCAACACATATAGAAACCACCCAACAACTCAGAGGAGTAATGTATGATGATCAGCTGAAAGGTTACAATGATTTTCAGGTTGTCTTCCCCCAGCAGTCACCTGTGTGGGTTTTGTCTGTAATAGTTTGCCTGGTCTCTTTTCACTACAGCAGGTGGCTGGAAGTGGACTGTGTTTTAACCATCCTGTAATTGAATTAGTGAGCCAGTGAAGGATGTTTAGAGGAAGTTTTCAGTATGAAAGGGAAAAAAGCAGTGTTGGTTTGAAGCATTTATCCCTTTACAACTTCTCTCATTTCTCTTTCATTAGTCTGGCATCTGTTGCTGTTGTGAATAGACACTTAAATATTAAATGCAAGATTTTGCATCTTTTCAGCATCTTCTGAAATGCTTGGGTTTTTAAAATCCATTTGATACAGTAAATACATTATTTGTGATGGCAACTCTTGTGACTTCTTAAAGAGCTTATTATTGTCCAGCTTCATATAATACATAATCAAGGAAAAACTCTTGGTACCAGGTAGCTACTACTGAAATTCTTTGATGAATAAGCTGTAAGATATAAGCTGAATTTTTCTAAATTCCTTTTGTAGGCTAGAATACCATCAAATTTTAGGAAGCAGTATTGTAAAAGACCCTAATTCTATTCCAGAGATTATTTAGCACTTGTTGTATCTTGTCTCAAAGCTCAGGCTACCATGACTTAACACTGTTTACTGTGTTTTGAACAGTACTTACTTGTTTCATTCCTCTTAGGCAGGAAAAAGCAGATTGGCAAACATGTTTACAAGCTCCTTTTCAAGACAGTTTTTTCTTGATGCTTTGATATATTTTCCTTGTACTGCTGCCTGTCCTGATCACTCTCATTTGTCCCTTACTTGTAGGTCTCCCACTGAGCAAACCTTTAGAAAGGATGTTGGAGTAGTAGGTCTTAATTCAGTTACCTCCCTGTAGATGCATATTGTCACTTTGGAGGCAGCCCATGTGTAACACAGCACTCTGGGGCACCTCTGTGTTCCAGGATGTCAGGAAGGGCACTGTGGAACCTCAGACCTCTCTACATGTCTGCCTGGATACTTGAATTTGATTCCTTTTCAAGAAGTCCTAAGACTTGTATCCAAACTGCCAATTTTTTGAATGAATACAGTGGTGTTATTGAGGATTAGTGTTTATCCTGTGTTTTTGGTCGTATTTCAAACACTTGGTATAATTTCTACCTGTCTATAAATCCCTCTACAATTTTAACCAAGTTGTTGGGTAGAATAACTTGTGTTAACTAGGTGGCACCTTTTTTTCCTGCCCCTTGCAGTGGGGGTGGAGTAGAGGATTTTTAAAGGTCCTTTCCTACCCAAAATAATTTGTGATTATGTGATTCTGTCTGTATCTGCATTGTACTGCAGTAAAAGGGGGCCCTGCAGATTGACTTAATGTGCCAAAATACTGAAGTACTAACCTCATAAAATCATCTACATAAATGAAAAGTGTTGGTATTTTTTACTTGTTTCCACTTCACAGAAAAAAATAGGGTGAATTTAATATGTGCAAACATGTATTTTACAAGTCTCTTCCTAGGACTGTACCTGAAAGCAGGCAAATATTTATTTTACCCAAAGCCAGAAATATCTCTTCAATTCATTCAATATGGTGACTTGCTGGGTCAACATTGCCTTTTGAATATAGAGACTTTTTGAACTTCCTCTCTGCATTTAAAACCTTGAATTCAAATTAAAGCAGTTGTGCTCTGTGGGCTTTTAAATTGTGACTTTGTGTTACCTGATAAATCTTTGCAGTGGTGAGTTGTGTGGTCACATTTCACTGCTTACTCACATCATCTTTGATTACACAAGCAAAAATTAGTTAGAACTAATCCCCAAAGCCATCCTATTTGTGCCTTAGGTAAATGTTTTTTAACGTGTGTCCTGTTTTCTTTCTGTGCATGTGTTTAATAAAGTCATAGGATTGTTAAGGTTGGAAAAGATCTCCAGGATTGTTGAGTCCCACTGATAGCCCAGAGCCACCACGTTCACCACTAATCCTGTTCCCAAGTGCCACCTCTTCATATTTTCTGAACACCTCCACAGGTGGTGGTTCTACCACTTCCCTGAACACCCTTTCCCTTGGATGTTAGAAAAGAAATCTTTCCTGATATCCAATCCAAACCTTCCCTGGTGCAACTTGAAGCCATTTCTTCTTTTCACTTGTTATCTGGAAAAAGAGCCTGATCCCCATCGGACTGCACCCTCCTGTCAGGGAGTTGTGGAGAGTGAGAAGATCTCCCCTGAGCCTCCTTTCCTCCAGGCTGAGCCCCCCTCACCTCTCTTAGCTGCTCCTGGTGCTCCAGAGCCATTCCCAGCTCTGCTGCCTTTCTCTGGACTCGCTCCAGCCCCTCAGTGTCCTCCTGGCAGTGAGGGCCCAAAACTGAGCACAGCACTCAAGGTGCCTCAGCAGTGCTGAGTACAAGGGACAATCCCTGCCTGGTCCTGCTGGCCACACTATTCCTGATACAGGCCAGGTGCCACTGGCCTTCTTGGCCACCTGGGCACTTGCTGGCTCATACTCAACTGGCTCTCACCACTTCTGTTGGTCATTTATCTGGATTAGTTATCAGCTGAGGAGCAGGGGCAGTGTTTCCATACTCATCTGTACAGTGCTTAGCACACTGATCTTTCCTTTTATGTAATTCCTTGAGGCATCCAGGTACTCTTGGATATGAGCTTGTTCCTGGAAGAACACTGCAGCAGCTGCACATGTGGAGCAGGTCTGTTTCTCTGGGAGCAATGCCATGTTTTTCATCCCACCTGGTAACTGTCAAGTGAAGGCTGAGCACACTGAGGTGGATTTCAGGCTTTACCTTTCTGGCTGGGTGACTTTTTCCCTGACACTGCCTACACACAGTCATGCTGAGGGAACTGTTCCTTCTCCCCCTGTCCAGAGGCCTTTTTGAAACTTGCTGTTCTGAGAGTAAGACTTCTTAACCTTTTCTCACAGGAAACCTCTGAGTGATATGTTACAAATTGCTCTGATCTGCACTCGTTAAGGCAGTGGCCTCTGTTAGTGGAGAAACTCTCTCAGAGTAGGGGCATGATGAGCCTTAATGTTCTGCTGTCCTGCTTGTACTGTCCAAACAGCAACCTCTTAGATCATTATGTGGAGAAGGAACAGGGGTTTTTTTATTCTCAGCTTAGACCAAACCATCCCACCTATCTCCACTAACTGGGCTTGTTGGAAGTCAAAGTTGCAGGTTCTCTTAATTGCAGGGCTTTCCAGGAATACTTGGCAATTCCCCTCCCTGCTCATGTGAAACAGCTGGTGCAGTGTTGTCTTTGTTTTACTGATGAGCAAAAGTTGTGCTTAGCACACTGATCTTTCCTTTTATGTAATTCCTTGAGGCATCCAGGTACTCTTGGATATGAGCTTGTTCCTGGAAGAACACTGCAGCAGCTGCACATGTGGAGCAGGTCTGTTTCTCTGGGAGCAATGCCATGTTTTTCATCCCACCTGGTAACTGTCAAGTGAAGGCTGAGCACACTGAGGTGGATTTCAGGCTTTACCTTTCTGGCTGTGTGACTTTTTCCCTGACACTGCCTACACACAGTCATGCTGAGGGAACTGTTCCTTCTCCCCCTGTCCAGAGGCCTTCCCCTCCCTGCTCATGTAAAACAGCTGATGCAGTGTTATCTTTGTTTTACTGATGAGCAAAAGTTAGTCACGTTGCTTTGCCTGCATCTTTCCCCACTGTTCCCTGGTCTCTTTGTTTCACTGCTGAGTCTACAGCTACCTGTCAGTTCTCTGCTTTCTCTCACAAAGAGCACAGGGGGAGCAGGCCAGGGATTTCCTTCTAAAAAGCAGCACAGGCAAGGCTGCTTCCTCCCTCCCACCCTACAAAGGTTCTGTATATTTTAAGCAAGTTGGTTGAGAAACTACCACCCTAAGTAAGTGAAGGGAACTTGTTTTCTATCAGAATTCTGCCAGGCAGATCTGTGTTTATCTTTTTCTGCCAGACTTGAGTAGCTTAAAATGGATTTTCCCATCTTGATGCTTAAGTAATTTGATCCAATCTGAGTGATCTTCAAGAGTCCTGGATTTTACTAATGAGTAACAGTGATAGCAACCTAGGCTATTGTGTGTCATTGTGGAAATACAGGGTCTGAAATGTGGCTGTGTTTCTGGGTGGTACAATGTGACAACAAATTGTGTGGTGTCCCTTTTATCATGCATCTTAATACACATGTGTAACTTCAAACAATTATGTAGGTTTCTCATGTTCAGTATGGTTCTGACAAGTCCTCCTAGTCAGTAAGCTTCACTGTAGTCTAGGCAATGACATTTTTTTCTCTGTTTTTTAGTCTCCTAGAGTGAAAGAACCTGTACAGAATTCCGAGGTAAGTTAGAATTGCAAATGGCTTCTTGAAAAGATGACTCCTAGTTATTGCTGTTGTTTCAAAGAACGTGCTTTATTAGCCTTTGAAAGCAATATTGTGTGAAGTAAAGCCAGTATCTAGCTGAGCTCTGTTTGAAGAGCTCCCTATAAAAGGAATCCGTGGCTGTGTAGTGCCAAGAGCTCTTCTTGAGGTAAGTTTGTTGTATGTCTTGTCAGCTTGCTGTGACAAAAGTCTGTTTGTTGCAAGGTAATTAATTGGTCACAAGAATAATCTGAGCATAACAACTGTCTTCTCATTTCCTCCTTAAAAGAAAATCCCAAACTACACAAACCCAACAGAACACAACTTAAGGATGTCTGGTTTGCACTGTCTAATTCTCTGGTTTGGAACTGTGAAAGAACTCTGTAGTAGTATTTGATACCAAACACAACTTCTGTTGCAATTTATCATCTTTCTTCAGTTCTGAACTGTTTCTTACATTAGGAATATTAGTATGTCTCATCTTTCAGTGATAGGGACAGCTTATCTGCCAGAGACTGTGCTATGTCTGTCTTTTCCCTACCTGTGTTGAAAGATAAACAGAGCTGTCTCCTAGAAATTAGTCTTGGGTTGGGCTGTCCTGTTCTTCCTTAATTTGTTTCCAAGAAGTGCTTATAAAGGGAGACTTTGAGAAGGACTACAGTTCTGGCACTGTAATTTAACATAAATTCTAAATTAAAAAAAAAAAAAAAGCTGAAAACCAGAATCCCTTTGGGATGAATTTTCCCATTGGAAGTCTCCTGTGCAGGTTTCCAGCATTGAAGGTGATTTATATTTCCTACAGCCTGCCAGAGTAAGCTGGAGGGCACACTGAAGTGCCATGCCAGACTTGAGTAGCTTAAAATGGATTTTCCCATCTTGATGCTTAAGTAATTTGATCCAATCTGAGTGATCTTCAAGAGTCCTGGATTTTACTAATGAGTAACAGTGATAGCAACCTAGGCTATTGTGTGTTATTGTGGAAATACAGGGTCTGAAATGTGGCTGTGTTTCTGGGTGGTACAATGTGACAACAAATTGTGTGGTGTCCCTTTTATCATGCATCTTAATACACATGTGTAACTTCAAACAATTATGTAGGTTTCTCATGTTCAGTATGGTTCTGACAAGTCCTCCTAGTCAGTAAGCTTCACTGTAGTCTAGGCAATGACATTTTTTTCTCTGTTTTTTAGTCTCCCAGAGTGAAAGAACCTGTACAGAATTCCGAGGTAAGTTAGAATTGCAAATGGCTTCTTGAAAAGATGACTCCTAGTTATTGCTGTTGTTTCAAAGAACGTGCTTTATTAGCCTTTGAAAGCAATATTGTGTGAAGTAAAGCCAGTATCTAGCTGAGCTCTGTTTGAAGAGCTCCCTATAAAAGGAATCCGTGGCTGTGTAGTGCCAAGAGCTCTTCTTGAGGTAAGTTTGTTGTATGTCTTGTCAGCTTGCTGTGACAAAAGTCTGTTTGTTGCAAGGTAATTAATTGGTCACAAGAATAATCTGAGCATAACAACTGTCTTCTCATTTCCTCCTTAAAAGAAAATCCCAAACTACACAAACCCAACAGAACACAACTTAAGGATGTCTGGTTTGCACTGTCTAATTCTCTGGTTTGGAACTGTGAAAGAACTCTGTAGTAGTATTTGATACCAAACACAACTTCTGTTGCAATTTATCATCTTTCTTCAGTTCTGAACTGTTTCTTACATTAGGAATATTAGTATGTCTCATCTTTCAGTGATAGGGACAGCTTATCTGCCAGAGACTGTGCTATGTCTGTCTTTTCCCTACCTGTGTTGAAAGATAAACAGAGCTGTCTCCTAGAAATTAGTCTTGGGTTGGGCTGTCCTGTTCTTCCTTAATTTGTTTCCAAGAAGTGCTTATAAAGGGAGACTTTGAGAAGGACTACAGTTCTGGCACTGTAATTTGACATAAATTCTAAATAAATTAAAAAAAAAAAAAAAAAGCTGAAAACCAGAATCCCTTTGGGATGAATTTTCCCATTGGAAGTCTCCTGTGCAGGTTTCCAGCATTGAAGGTGATTTATATTTCCTACAGCCTGCCAGAGTAAGCTGGAGGGCACACTGAAGTGCCATCAAGCTGACAGTTCTTTGGCTCCTGTGCCAAAATTGGTTTCTCTGTACAGAGTAATAAGAGGTAAAAAAGAGATTAAATTTCCATTTAGCTCTTTTTCCCCACCCTCCAATTAATTTCATATGGATTTTTTTTTGTTTGCTTGGTTGGGTTTGTTTTTTGCAAGAGACTAAAGTAAAGCCCAATCCTAAATCGTCTCTAGTGTGATTTGAAGAACTCTAAATTCACTTTCCATTGACACCCAAATTACTCTGACATTTCCTTGGTGACAGGCTCAGTTGTCAATAGGCACCTCACTGCTTTGCTGGGGTTTGTTCTCTGAAAGGAACTACAAGTCAAAGCAGGGCTCCTCTGCTCTGAGGGCATGGCTACTTGAAAATGCAAGTAGGACTCAGATTCCAGGAAAGAGGGAGGCTGAAGGATACGGTGCTCTCATCCCAGCTGGATATATCTAGGTACATGCAGCCTTGCCACAGAGTGTAATTTTTGTCCAAGATCCACAGCCATGCTGGTATCTTGGTTTGCTGGTGTGTAGAACTTGGAAATGTCAGGACAGAATGGGTCCCTGGACATAAGGACACATTAAAGCCCTGAACACCAACTTGGAATCAGCATTCCCTGGAGGCCTGGGAATGCCCTTGGCACTGAACTTCTCTCAGTGATTTATGTGGCAGACAAGCACTTCTGGAAAGCTGGTGCTTGAATCAGAACTCTTGAGTTCCTTTTCTCACTAAAACTCCTTTTTGCTTGCAGCTGTTTCCATCAGCTGAGCCTCCAGGTCCTTCACTCAATGCTCCAGCACAGGCACCTACTGAACTACCTCAGGCTGCAGGACAAGCACCTGCACAACCTCCAGCTGCTGTACCTCCACCCAGCCAGGCTCCTCCAGCAGCCCCAGCAGCAGCAGCAGCCCCAGCAGCAGCCCAGGTAAGAGCAGACCCTTCCTGCCAGCTTTCAGATTTGCCCTTAGTTGTGGTATTCCAGATTGTGCCAGAACAATCTGAAACGGTGGAAGTTTGACATATTATTGGTGACATTAAAATAGCTTTGATACTTAAATCAACCCCCTTCACATCTCTTTAAAAGCCAGTAATTAATCCCTGAATTTTATGCAGCAGTTGAAACACCAGCAGCAGTGAAGGCTGGAGCAGTGTTGGTGTCAGTGACACTTGGGACATGCACTAACAGAACATATGCCACTAGTGCCCAATATCTTATTTATTGGTCGCTTGTCTTAAGCTGAACTTCATGAACTTGTGTCAGTGTGTTCTTTTCTATAGCTTTTAGTGTCAATATGTCAATATTTTTTATAGCTCTGCATATATTCTTCCTCACAGCTCTCTGTGTCAGTGTGTGTTATTCATGGCTCTCCTCTGGTACTTGTTGCTCAGTGGTTACTGTTTTGCAGAGCTCTGGGCTTCTCAGTGAACCCGTGTTTGTTTTCACTGACCTGGTGGTTTTCAGCTTCAACAGAAACCAGGTTGTGATCAGAAGCCTTGAGCTGCATTGCTGGGCCAAAAGCACCTTAGAGTAAAATGCTAGTTTTAAACAAAGGGTTATTGTCCTTTTCTCCTGTGAAAAAACAAGTGGTCTAGATGAAAAACACTTTGTCAAGACTTCTGTGCTTAAATTATCAGCCTGGTGTTGTGTCTGTTTTGTTCCTGCAGGTATAAAGCCCTTGCCTCAGCATGGGCAGTACAGGTGACTGACCCCTCTCTGTTTCATTTGGGTTTTTTTGGTGGAGATGGAATAACACTTAGCGCTGTAGTGGAAATATCACAAGTGCTGTAGCAAGTGCAGGGCAACTCCTGGATCCTCCCTACTGGAAGTCTGCTGCTAACCAAAATGAAATTATTTCAATGATTACATGTTCCAATAGTTACTCAGAAGTAATTTAGAATTGAAAATAGGCAGCTATAAAATTGCTGCTCGATGCTCTTAAAGCCTTTGATTTCGTGAGTAATTTAGAATTGAAAATAGGCAGCTATAAAATTGCTGCAGGATGCTATTAAAGCCTTTGATTTCGTTGAAAAAAAAGGTAACTGAGAGTACATGCTAATCTGCCAATTCAATTTTTTCCTGATACAGTTGTATCAGGTTTTTAAATCAGATGTTTGGGGCAGGGATTAAAACACAGGAGGTCTTGAAGCTGTCATGAATATCCAAAAACCTTAAGTTTTAATGCAAAGCAAGTAACCTTTTCACATTTAGCACTTCTGAAGTCTCTTGCCATTTTGGCATTTCTCAAAGTTGTGCAGCTTTTACTCTTTCCAAGACAATTGCAGAGACCCTCCTGTTAAAGTGTGAAGGTTCATTGATCTGTCATCTTTCTCACTGTAGTGCCATGATTCCATTGATGAGTCAAACTTTTACTTGTATCTACAGTTGATCAAGGTTATTTCTAGCTTTAAAACCAGAGCAAGGTATTGTTAACCTGCCTTAAAATGATGTAATCCTGTTGCAGGCCCCACCTACAGCCCCTGCTGCAGCTCCGGTACAGGAAGATGTGAGAGTCCCCATCAACCTTGTATTAAGGTTAAGGTAAGGACACAAAGCTGACCTGTTCTGTTCACATGAGCCTTTGCAGAGAGGCCCACTGGCACTCTTCTGTGCCTTTTAATTAACAGAGTGGTGGTTAAGTGTTTGTCAGCTTGGATTTCAACTGCTCTTCTGACACTGCAGCCGAGAAAAGCAGTTTATCACATCCACTTTGGTTTGGCAAAACCTGTATTGAAAGAGGGTTTGATATTTATGTAAACATTGCTAAACTCTCGTGGAGTGGGAAAGGAACTATCTGGGCTCCCTAAAAGGATTCAGGGATCGAGGAGTTCTGGCCTTGTGCTGGTCCATGTTAATCTTCATGCACAACTTCAGACTTCAGCCAGTTCTGAAAGTGAAGAGCTTTTACCCAGTTCAGGGAGTGTATTCTGGGCTGTGTCACTGGAAACAGGCAGAAAAAAGAATCTTTCTATGCTTATTGCACATGCTGCTGTTTCTCATGAAAAGAACCTTCCTCTCATCTCTGGAGGCATCCTGGTTGTTGATGGGCATTGGAGTGGGGACTCTGAGCATCACTTCCATAATGTGTGTGCATCTGCAGCCAGTGAGCATTTCCCTCCTCTGAAACATGCTCCAAGGATATCTCTGCTGAGGGATATGAGTTGTTGAGACAGGGGAAAAGCATGGCCTTGTAGCACAGAGGTGGCACTCACCTATCCTGGACTGGTCCAGGCTCTGTCAGGTTGGGAGGCAGACTGTGCTGCTTCCACATGCACATCCAAGTGATGAGTTTCTTCCTTTGAGGGGGTGGAATGCAATGAATTCACAGGCTGATTATTCAGTGATAACACTCTCTTTTGGTCACCTGTCATGCCATGAAATGGTCTCTTTTATATAAAATTCTCTTCTTTCCACAGGAATTCAAATAAAGAGCTCCATGATATTCGGTTTGAATTCACCCCAGGGAAAGGTGAGCTGGTGGGAAATTCCAGTGTGTGAAGAGGAAGTTTTGTGTTTGGTGTTGTGCTGTTGTGTGTCTGTCCATAGTGCCTTCCCTAAGGGCTTGTTGTGATTGGGCTTGGAGCACTGCTGTAAAACTCATGGATATGGCTAAAGTGCAGTCCTTCAGTGAATTCCAGTGAATTTACAGCACCTGGTGTGCACCCTGATATCTGTCTTTTGTAAAGGGCACTTCTGCTGTTTGGTTTGTACAAGCTCCTTTAGGTTTCTGTGTGGTGCCTTTGCCAGCTGGACATTTCTGCTCTGTGGTGATGGCTCTTGTGTTTTTCCCCAACAGATACTGCAGATGGTGTGTCTCAGGAGCTGATTTCAGCAGGTCTTGTTGATGGCAGAGATCTGGTAATAGGTAATTACAAATTATTTTTTCTGCTCTAACCATTTCTGTAATTTTTTTTGCATGTTAAAAAATGACCTGATTAGTGGGTGATAGGAACATTTCCTCTGGCCCTGCACAACTGCTGTCAATTCTGGTGACAGTTCTGTGCCAACATGTAGGCAACCCCCAGTTCACAAGAAGATGATTTAATTGGTAACATTGTGAAGCAAATGTTCCTTGTAATGCAGAATGAAGTCTAATTGATGCATTAGCCAAATCATTATCATCTGACAGGGATGCATCATCAAACTGCTGCACAAGCCTATCCTGCTCACAGGTCCTGTGCAAGAGAGCTCTGGGACTGGAATCAGCCAGGCTTTTTGGGTTTAATTAGGGCTGGGGAAGGAAGTGTGAGTTGCACGTGCCCTGGGGCAGCAGCACAAGTTGTAGGGGGGGGAGCAGCTGCCTCAAACAGCAGTTTGCTAAATAAATGAATCCTCCTGTGCAGCAGGTGAGACTTTAAACTGTCAGCACTGCCTGTGTATTCCAACTGCAGCAAGCAAAGCTGTTCCTTGTACACAGGAACAGCTGCTAGTGCAAAATTGCCTGGATTTCCAGATGCAGTTTGGCATCTATTACTATTGATCCCATCACATCCTGGGAAAGATAACTACCTCTGAAAGAATAATGTAGGAACAATAACAGCATTTTCACAGTTCAGAACTTTAGGTTTAAGTAGACTGAATCTAATTGAGACGTAAACCTTTCCTTATCAGTGTAAAAATTCAAAGTTTGTTAAGTAATAGAAAGAAGAGTAATGAGTTTGGGATGTTTTTTCTTCAGCCTGTCCTAATATTTGCCCGTTTTCTTCATGTCTGTGTGATTTCAGTTGCAGCTAATTTGCAGAAAATTGTGGAAGAGCCCCAGGCAAACAGATCCATCACTTTCAGACTGGTATTTATTCCTGTTCCCTAATTGATCAAGTTGTCCCTTGCAAGGAGAAGGCATTGCATGTAGATGTTTACTGCAGGCATCTGATGTATGCACTCTAAATCCTCCCTTCTTTCCCAAAGCCTCTTACTGGTTGTATAACTGTAGGCACTGCAGGCTCCCTGCTTGTATCCTCTGAGCAGCACCTGGGATAAATAAGCATGAGATGATGTGCTAATTAATATATGAAAATGTTGCAGAGGGGTATTTTTGGGACTTGGGATGTGCACTTGTAGAAATATTTCAAGGCAGGTGGATGGGCTAAGAATTGTCACAGACTCCGTTTTTGGAGGCAGAGAATGAGGGAGGGTGCAGATACATTGTTTCTGAGGAGGAAATGGGGAAACAAATTTAAAAAAAAAAGAAAAAAGGAAAATAAGAGTGGTGGGCCAAAGAAGAGAGCCAAAACTGGGAGTAGAACAGGTGAATTTTAGAGGTGGTGAAATTCAGGGGGAGTTACAGTGGCAAAGTGAAGGCTTAACCAGGTTAATGGGAGTGAGGTACTTATTTTTTACTCTTCCTCTAAGAAGTTTTACCCCAGTTATTGCACATATAATATCTAGCTGGAGCAGGCATTGGCAAAACTTCAGTCCCAGAAGGTATGAAGGTTTCATACCTTCAGGAAAAAAAAAACCAGGCAGAAATGCAAAAGCACTCCATTTTAGCTTTGGGTAGTGCAAGCTGCTGAATACAGTGCAAAGCTCTCCTGTGGCTGCTTCACCCCCCACCCTGTCTGATACACCTGCTTGTGGTTCCTGCTGGAAGGTAGAGCATGTGTGTTGCTATTTGGATCTCTCTTCCCTGTTTCAGGCATCTGGTGTCGACGGCTCAGAAATTCCGGATGATGGCAAACTTATAGGATTTGCACAGCTCAGCATCAGCTAAACATTGGTCCCAGGAGATGTTTCCCAACAGAGAACCCACATGTGCATATTCGTAATGCTTCTGTTAGCCTAAAAAAAAAAAAACCACTACTGCCAAAGAATTGAACTACAGCCCCCTTCCTAGAAGCTTTAACATTTTCCTTGATAGGATCACAAACCTTCCTGAAATTACCGATGACGTTTACACCTTTTGTAAACAACTCTCATGTTTTTGTATCTGTCATCTCAAACATGCAGACCCAACACGTCATTGCCTGCATGTTCATTTTATTATTGCCTTACTTTAAAGAAAAATACTACTGAGTACGAAGCAGGGGGTTCCACTGCTCTGATGATCTTGCCTAAGTGTTTGCTTACATGTGGTTTCATTTTTTTTCACTTGCTGTTTTTGCACAAGTTTTAATACTGAACGGATTTTTTTTTTTTTTTTTTTTTGGTTCTTTACCTGCTTCTCCTTCTCTCTGAAACACCAGTGTACATGTTGTTTGGGTCACCTGGAGTGCTGAGAAATCTGCTTCTCTTTGGCTGTGTGATATAAAACTGCTGGTTTGAATGCTTGCACATGAGAAAGCAAGCAGAGTCTTAACTCACAGGAGGGAGAGCTTCCTTCCCTTGTGTTTGTGTTTGGAGAAGTTCCTTGACTTTGAGGTGTTAGAAGTCAGCTTCCCTATGTAAACTGCCTTAATTTTTTTCTTTTTTCTTTATCATTTTGGTTCTCTCCACATGAGTGCCAGGCATGGCATGAGGGCTGAACCTTTTAATTTACATTCAGCAGTCCTTCCTGTTGCTTTCATTCTGCATCTTAGACGTAGTCTGTTCTTGAAGCAGACCAGGGAGGCATTGCTGCCTGGAAACTGGTCTTTCAGATGATGAACACAATATCCATGGTCACAGGGAGAGGAGATATGTTTTTTTTTTTTTTTTAATTTCCAAGTCTTCAGATGAACAATCTGTATTTATATCTTGTTCTCTATGAGCAGCTGTGGAAGCTTCCTGAATTGTGCATGTTCTTTTTTTACCGCCCCTGTTGCTTGTAGCCTCTGGCTGGATATTGGGTGTGTCCCCATGGGCTGTTTGCAGCCCCATGGCTGGTGGGTGTGAAGGGGAAGGAGAGGAAGATGAGAATTTGGGAGTGAGATCACCCTGGGGTGCTGAGCCGGTGCTCTCTAGAGCCCAGGAAGCAAGTGCCCGATAGCAGGGAGTTGGTGGCTGGGTTGGCAAATGTGTGTTGCCACCATTCCCTGTTGCCTGACACAAAGGACTCCCTGCAGTGTCCCCCATTGAGCTTGTTGGCTTGGGAACAGCAGGCTGGCACCTTGATTTTCCCATCACCCTGTGCTCAGTGTGGATGTGTTGGGAACCTTTAGGATACAGAGACAAGGTAGTTGTGGTACAGTATTATTTTCCCTCTGCCTGCATGCCCTGGGGACCTCCTCATTCATTTGTGTACTGGTGCTGAGGAAGGTTAGGACTCAAACTGCTCAAATGGAACAATGCAGCATCTATTTATTGTTACTCCCCATTTTCCCAAAGCCAGGACTTAGAGAGCTTGAGCTCATGCTAACCCAAGGTTCCGTAGTTCTTTAATGGAGAAAATAAACGAGGAAGAAGCTGATGGGTTTTGCTCTATGGATCTCCAGATCTTTTGGGTTGGGATCCAGAATATTTACTTGGGCTATTACAGTGCTAGACAACTGTCTTTTCTGATGTTGTTCCAGTAAGTGCCAATGCTGTTCATAATTGTTTTCCAGTGTCATTAAGAATTTGGTTTTTGTGCAAATTTCTGATCTGAACCTGGAAGCAGGTGGTAATTTTAAGTTAGTTCCTACTTTTAAGGACAATGCTCTGTTAATGAAAACGGATCCTCTTCACAACTTTGGTGTATTGTAGATTATAATGAAAGATGTAAAATAGTCAGGCTTTTTTTTTCCTTTTTTGGACTTTGTATTTTACTGCATGTGTCTAATTTTTAATCAATAAAGAACAAATTGTCCATTGCCAGGTGTTTGATGTGTGGTTTGTTTGTCACTGGGTTGGTAGGTGTGTCTTGAAGAAGGGGTTTGTCTCAGTTGTCTCAGTGGTGTCTGCAACCCCTGGGGTGTTTCTGTTTGGGAGGTTTGACAGCCCCCAGGAAGACTCAGTGGGGAAAGGGACATCAGGTCCAGGTTGGATGGGGCTCTGAGGAACGTGGTCTGGTGGGAGGTGTCCCTGCCTATGGCAGGGGTGGAACTGGATGAGCTTAAGGTTCCTTCCAACCCAAACCATTCCATGAGTGCATCTCTGCAGGAGTTGTGTGCAGAAATGGAGCCAGGAGGGCACTGAGGATGGTGCCCTGAGAGCTTGTCTGTAGCCAAGCGGTTTGCTCCAAGCTCTTCATGCCCTGTGCAACTGGGAATGAGCTTCCTCTGTCCAGGAATGCCTCAGGATGACACAGGCTGGTGTGAAAGTGAGAGGATTTACACCCTGACAAGTGGTGAGAGCATGAAGTGCACTCCCTCCTCCACAGTAATTGTTCTTTGTGGGTGCCCTTGTCAGCCCCAGTGGGGCATCCATGGTCTGTTTCCCAGCATGCTTTTCAGTGTCCTTCTCATGGATCTGTGGGCAGCAGGAGTATCCAAGTGGCTTTCAGGCACCTCGTGAACATCTCAAAGGGACCCCAGGCAAATGCTTTTCCTACATGAGGGATGGGCTAAGCAGTGGTGGACTCGCATTCTCGATGATCATTTTGGGCATTTTGGCCTCAAGCTCCATTGCCCTGTGTCAAATTTCTCCATCCCTTTACCCTTTCCCCAAGTCCTTCCTGCATTTAGCCCCCAGCAGCTGCAGGGTGGCCCAGAACTAGTGGAAAGAGACATCCTGTGCCTGGCTTGTGTTGTACAGGGAAGCTGCAAAAGATGAAGGGAATGGCAGCTCCCATCCCCTGGAATTACAATGAACTGGCTGCCCTTCCTCATTTCTGGTTCTGCCCATCCATTAACAGAATTCCCTTTACTCCTCTGGGCTGTTCCCAGCTCTGCACCCTGCTGGACTTGTTTTGGCCCCTCTGAACCTGGCTTTCCTGAGTGGTTCAGCAATTGCAGCTGTTGTAGTCACTGTGGAGAAGAGTCTGTTCCCTGTCCATGCCACCTGGCCCTGGCAGAGGAGCTGGCCCAGGTTCCCTGAAGCAGGGGTTCTTCTGCTCCACCTAGCACTGGATGTTTGTGGGTGGTGCAGGGATGATTAATATATTACATGGTGTACTTCTAGTGACTGCCTATGACTGCAGAGCTTATCTGAGGTTTAAACATTAATTCCAGCCCCCTGGGAAGTCTGTCCCAGCACTGTCCTGTCCCAGACACAGCCACCAATGTCAGGTGTCGGGGAAATTTTGAAAGCAGTTGGTGATTTTGGGCGACTCCAGAAATGCCTGGTGCTGCTCTCCGTGATCCCCTGCCTCAGTGTGGCTTTCCACCAGTTTTGCCAGCTTTTCATGGTGCCATACGTGCCTCACCACTGTGACACCAGCTGGATCCGCGCCGTCGGCCCCAACCTGACGGAGGAAGAGCAGCTGAACCTCACCCTGCCCCGCGGCGCCGACGGGCAGTTTGAGCAGTGCTCCATGTTCTCCCCGGTGGACTGGGACCTGGATGCCATCCTGGCCTATGGACTGAACCACACGCAGAAGTGCAGCAGTGGCTGGGTGTACCCCTCAGAGCAGCCACCGTCCCTGCTGACCGAGGTCTGTGCTTGCTGCTTGATGTGCTGGGGTGTGGAAGGAATGGGACACCCAAATGGCCACAGCTCCCACAGAGCTCGTGCCTGACCACGGTGCAGTTGGGATTTACAGCAGGTGTGGGTTTGGGACCTTGGCTCCACCACGCAGGCCCCAGGTGTGGTCCTGGAGAAGGTGCAGGCTGCGACAGAGGGGCCAGTGGGGAGATGAATCACTCCTGGAGGGACCTCCTGCCCCTGAGTTTCCCTATTCCTCTGCATAAAGGGGTTAACCTTTCCAACTTAATATCATGGAATGGTTTGGCTTGGAAGGGTCCTTTAAAAGTCAGCTAGTCCAACCCTCAACATCACAATTGTTAGCTGAGAAAGATGCTAAATTAAGATAAAGGAGAGTAGGTTCCGATTAAATATTAGGAAGAAATTCTTCACTGTTAGGGTGGTGAAGCCCTAGCACAGGTTACCCAGAGAAGCTGTGGCTGTCCCATCCCTGGAAGTGTTCAAGACCACATTGGATGGGGCTTTGATCTGTCTGGTCTAGTGTAAGGTACTCTGCCCTTGGCAAGAGAGTTCAAATTAGATGATCTTTAATGTCCCTTCCAACCCAAACCATTTTATGGTTCTATGATCCTTCCTATGTCACTCCTTCCATTGATATCCTCTGGATACTGGCAATTGCAGGACATGTATTTAACAGAAACTGCTTGTCCCAGGAATCAGCATTGCATCTTTTTTCCTCTGGGAGCTCAGGTGGTCTGGCAGGAAGCAAGCTGCTGCTTCTGTCCCCAGGCCCACCTAAAGCAAAATTTGCTGACCAGGATGCTCCCCTGGTTGGCTGGGCTGAATGAGGGGGACTCCTGCAGGTCCCAGTGCAAGGGAGAGGGTCCCCACTGAGTGCCCCAAGGGCTTGTCCCACCTCTGACTTGTATGCCCTGTGCATACTGTGGGGATTCACATCCTTGGAAGTGGGGATACCAAAGCCTCTCCTTCTTTCTCCAGTTTGACCTGGTGTGTGACAGGAAGGACCTCAATGACATTGCCCAGGCCATCTACATGGCAGGGCTGCTTCTGGGATCCATGATCTTTGGGCCTCTGAGTGACAGGTGAGGAGCCACAACCCCCTGCCCAGGGTCTGTGCAAAGCCAGCACGGCACAGACCAGGTGGTGTGAGCCTGTCTGGACTGTGCACTCTGTGCATTTTGTTACCACTTTTCACTACAGGGACCCTGACCAAAGTCCTCTGGTCCCATGAGGACATGGCCACACAGGGAGGGGAAGGGAGAGAGACACAGCATGTGTGTACAGTGCTTGTCACCCCACAGTCTGCTCTGAGCCTTATCAGGGTGATAAAAATCACCCTGTATAACCTGCTGGGCTCCTTGCCATCTCCATGGGGCCTCCAGACACTGATCGTGTCTTCCCTGTTTCTCCCCAGGATCGGCCGCCGCCCGGTCATTCTGATCTCCGTCTTCCTCCAGGGCTTGTTTGGCCTGGGAATTGCCTTTGTGCCCCATTTCTATGTGTACATAGCCTTCAGGTGT